ATCGCTCAGCGGCGAGTGTACCTAGAGGCCGCGCACCGGGAACATGGCGAAATGTAGCAACGCTAACGTCACTACGCGACCGATATAGCATTCACCGGCCATAATCATATACCACACCAGCGGCAGTGAAGACGATTATCTGATGAACACACACAACATGTTAGAAGTGTTACACAGTAAACAACATTTAGGCCCGCTACAAACTAGATACACATGGTGGCGGCACCACCGTCCGCGTGGTATGTGTCAATTTGCAATGAATAATTATAGTTGGAGATACACCGCAGCAGTATTATTACATTAGCTGGACAACCGTCGGCAAAGAACAGACAACACTTTAAGCAGAACTTGGTTTCAACTCACATGCTAAACAGCTGTTCCATCCTGAACATATGCACATTGGCCGAAATGGGGATATTTTCAGAGACTGATGGCCGCCCTGGTTGTAAATCTATCGGACATCCAGCATCATTACCTACGTCAAACTTATTGCCACCTACGTGGGCATCCACGTGCCGAGAGGGCGATGAAGGCGTAAACACAGTCCCCCTCATTTCTTGCCATTGGCTATCCCCTCGTTCCCCCTCTAGAAACTGACCATCGTCCATGATTCCAACCCTCTACCGTCCCTGTAGTCAACAGTGATTGGGGGAGACATCCTTGGTAGGAGTTTCACGGCTGAGTTTACGAAAGGGGGGTATAAGAGAGAGTTCGCGGAGGAAACGGGGCTCTTGTGTATTCCTCTCTCTGTGACTAAATCGTATATGCATTGTGAAAGCTATCTTCTATCCTGTGTAATTTGTACGACGTTTGTTTAGTGAGTATATAATATATAGTGAAACGAGCAGTTATAACCAACATCAGTCTACTCTCATTTTATTATCGTATTGGTACGATTTAGTCAAGCAGCTTACACGGCGATATAGCACTGTTAACTATAAGCGCACAGTCGTCTGGCAGCAGAGTTTATCCAGCCCGACTACACTAATGTTAAAGACTAATGTTAGGACTAATTTAAGACAATGTTAAGACTAATGTTAAGGCTATCATTAGACTAATGGTAAGAGCCATGTTAAGACTATCATTAAGACTAATGTTAAGACCCATGTTAAGACTAACATTAAGCTGTACTGTCATCATCGTCGCTTGTCGTAACATCGCCGTCGCCATGCCATCGTTGCAGCAGCAGCTCTGTGAAGGACAGACTACCTGTACGCGCGCAGCCCCAGCTAGTCGCACGCCCAGCTGGGCGAGACGAACGAGAGCCAGATACCGAACATGTCGCGGCGCGGCATTCGCCGCTCCCGCCGGAACGCGTACTCCGTCACGCGACGCCTCGCAAGGACATGGAGGGTTGAGTCGTCACGCAGCAGCACAGGTTAGTGCGGGGAGGCGCGGCGCGGCGCGGCGCGGCGTAGAGGGGACTGGCGTAGGCACACTGGTGTAGGCGACACTGTCCTAGTGGTGTCGTGGTAGATGGCACTGTTGTAGGTTACATTATGGTAGGTGGTGCTGTTGTAGGTTACATTATGGTAGGTGGTGTCGTGGTAGATGGCACTGTTGTAGGTTACATTATGGTAGGTGGTGCTGTGGTATAAATGCTACTATGCCATTTGATACTGTGTAGTGGTAGGTGCTGTTGTGGTAGCTGGCACTGTAGTCTGACAGACTGTAATACTGTCATAAATTGCACTGTAGTATGTGTAGCTATGTAGTAGATGTCACATCTGTTGTTGATTGTAGTATACGATCCAAGATTGTAATATATAGTAGATTTTATCTCCGTGGTAGACCATACTGTAGTAGTAGTTGTTGTATAGTATGTGGTAGTTCTGTGATAGACTATACTGTAGTAGTTAGTAGTTGATGTATAATGTGTGGTAATTCTGTGGTAGACTGTGCACATGTTACTAGTTGCTGTTGTTGTAGATAGTTTGTGCCTAGTCATGTCACGTTGCATGTGTCGATTTCTAGTGACAAGTGTGAGTAGTTCGTCTTCCCGATTAACCAGAAGCGAGAATGATGGACAGAGGTCAGCCAAGCCAGGTCAGTGCAAGCGTCTGAATGACCAAGCTCAGTGGCCCCTAACCCCCAACTGACCAAAATATTTATAAGTGGGTTGTCGAAGCGTTTCCTCTGACCATCTTAAAGATGATGCATAGTCTAACGGCGGGTGGAGTCAGGGGTTGCTGAGCTAGCCCATGACCAGCATTCTGCTGTCGCATTTCACGTGTGTTAATCACAACGGCTTTATCTGCCTTGTAGTATCCCATCTCAGGATGTTAATGTTTGGTAACATTCTTATGAGAAATGTGTATATTTCTTTGCATGTAGCAATCGTACACCTTTGGTATTTATTCAGTGTGGTATATTTTAATAATGGAATGAGTTTCGAGCTTTCAATAATCCTCATTAAGTAGTACTTTTATCATTAATTAATCATCAGACTTTTTGCTAGTATAAGTTAACTGATGACCAGGATTACGCTTAAACCCGCCATGTCTTAAATCCTGTGGTGTCCGAAACACTAGTAGCTGAGGTAGTTTGAAGCTAGTTGATCGTTAAGTTATTGTTAAGTTAAGTTCGATTAAGTTGATTGTTAAGTTAGTTATCGTTGAAGCTAGATGATTATAGTTGCAGCTCTAAGCTGTTCCTCATCGTTGCATGTACGGACGTAGTTTAGCTGTAAGTGTTAACGAGCATGTGCATGTGTTAACTGTAGTGCGATTGCTTTGTGTTGTTGCATGCAGTGTGGTCGAGAGGGACACCGAGGCCGAGCGAGTCGCGATCGAGAATTTCTGTATCCTACGGTGAGTGTCTTTCTCCTCCCTCTCTGTCTCTCTCTCTCTCTCTCTTTCTCTCTCTCTTTCTGTCTCTCCCTCTCTCTCGCTCGCTTTATCTATCTCACCACTATCTCTGTCTGTCTCTCCTGCCCTCCCTTCCTCCTTCCTCCCTCCCTCTCCTTCCCACTTCCTTCTCTCAATCTCTCTATGTCCTTCTCTCTCTCGCTTTCTCTCCTATTCATCACAACCTTTCCTTTACACACAATGCCTGTAACAGGTAGAGTTTCTCAGTGTGACTGCGCCTACATGATTGCTGTGTTAATATCAGAAAATGAGTTCTCCTACACACATTCCTTGTAGAGCTTCTGCTAGTAATACTAGTTCCGCATAATAGCTGTGTTGCGATTTGTAATTGGTAGAGTATGAAGTCAGGCACTATTGTTGTATAGGTACGGACAACAGTGACAGTGAGTGCGATGAGGTGAGATTGCACAGAAGAAGCCATGTGCTCACACGACTCTACCACTTCCTCGGTAAGCAGCAGCTACTCCTCTAGGCACATTCACTTCGTTTTCAATGAGTTTCGAGCTTTCAATAATCCTTATTAATTAGTAGTTATTATTTTAGTTAATTTAGTTCTTTTATATTTAGTTAATCATCAGATGTTTTATAGCGAGTATAAGCTAAATTATGACCAGAATTAGGCTTAAACCCTGTTTTGAATCCTGAGGGTTTGCTCTCCAATGCAGAAATACATTTTGATTGAGAGTTTCAAAGCGGTCGTTTGATTTGCGACGCGCATTAATTTATTAAAAAATTTTACTTTAGGAGTCTTTCAGTTGTGTCTTGTTGATTTCAGTGTGGTTGGTGACAGCCTGTTGGTGGACGGTGGGTGGAATGTTCTACAAGACAGTCATAACTATCTTCACGTTAGATGGTTGGTTGCTGTCGAGGTAAGATGGGCCCTACTGACCTCACAGTCACACTCCCTAAAGCCGCCAGCACGCCCTAAGTCTACGATATGTATCAATGCTAGTGCCTCCAATCTTTCTCCAAACCCTTCTCTAAACCTATAGTTCTACGTTGGCTCACCATTATTTCGATGTAGCGCTTGCATCTCGAGCTTTTCTTTCAATGCAAGATGGCATTTGCTATTGCATTATTCACCTTACCCCAAACCTCTCCAATGTCTCATTAAATGCTCGATGGGGGATTATCAGACTGATTATCATCCTACAATCCTTCCTGAAAACTTCTCTCAAACTAAGCTATAGCTGTAATAACCTCATGATCACCTCCCCACCCCTTCAACCCAAGAGACAATTCCAACATGATATTATCCTAGAATATCAGTAACCGATTCTCTCAACCCACCCTACCTGTCCCTCTTTCCTTGACCTGTGTGGAACATCCTTCCGTTTGTTATAGGCCTCCAAAGAAGCAGCCACCAGATGGCGCTGCGAGTGATCGCTCCTCTACTCGTTCCCATTCCTCGAGGTATTGTACGAGTTCAGAGCTTTCCTCGATCCTTCGCACGCGCCTGAAACCTTCCTATATATATGACCTTTAGTAGCCGCACAGCCTTTGATAGGACCGCATCTTCTAATTTTGACTTAACCAGATTTCCAAGGTTTGACAATTGTCAAAAATTTTGTCGGGATGCTAGTAAGTGTAATTACATAAAACCATCGCCATGGCGATATAAACTCATAGGATGTTGAAGTGGAGAGGCTTTTTTTTACGATTCTTCAACCGTAACGCAAGTTTCCAGTCGTGTGAATGCTACGGGGCATGGGATCATAATGTTTGCAGGTAGACTATTTGCTAAGCAAAGGGTCTTAAACACAGACACGCACACACACACACACACGCAATATGTACGCACACACGCGCACACAATATGTACGCACACACGCGCACACAAGGGGTATATATTACTATGCCATTTGATAGCTGTGTTAGTGGTAGGTGCTGTTGTGTAGCTGGCACTGTAGATCTGACAGACTGTAATACTGTCATAAATTGCTCACTGTAAGTATGTGTGGCTATGTAGTAGATGTCACATCTGTTGTTGATTGTAGTATATGATCCAAGATTGTAATATATAGTAGATTTTATCTCCGTGGTGACCATACGTAGTAGTAGTTGTTGTATAGGATGTGGTAGTTCTGTGATAGACTATACTGTAGTAGTTAGTAGTTGATGTATAATTGTTGTGTAATTCTGTGGTGACTGTGCACATGTTACTAGTTGCTGTTGTTGTAGATAGTTTGTGCCTAGTACTGTCACGTTGCATGTGTCGATTTTAGTGACAAGTGTGAGTAGTTCGTCTTCCCGATTAACCAGAACGGAGAATGATGGACAGAAGGTCAGCCAAGCCAGGTCAGTGCAAGCGTCTGAATGACAAGCTCAGTGGCCCCTAACCCCCAACTGACCAAAATATTTATAAGTGGTTGTCGAAGCGTTTCCTCTGACCATCATAAAGTGATGCATAGTCTAACGGCGGGTGAGTCAGGGGTTGCGTGAGCTAGCCGCATGACCACTGTCATCATCGTCGCTTGTCGTAACATCGCCGTCGCCATGCCATCGTTGCAGCAGCAGCTCTGTGAAGACAGACTACCTGTACGCGCGCAGCCCCAGCTATCGCACGCCCAGCTGGGCTGAGACGAACGAGAGCCAGATACCGAACATGTCGCGGCGCGGCATTCGCGCTCCCGCCGGAACGCCGTACTCCGTCACGCGACGCCTCGCCAAGGACATGGAGGTTGAGTCGTCACGCAGCAGCACAGGTTAGTGCGGGGAGGGGCGCGGCGCGGCGCGGGTAGAGGGGACTGGCGTAGGCAACACTGGTGTAGGCGACACTGTCCTAGGTGGTGTCGTGGTAGATGGCACTGTTGTAGGTTACATTATGGTAGGTGGTGCTGTTGTAGGTTACATTATGGTAGGTGGTGTCGTGGTAGATGGCACTGTTGTAGGTTACATTATGGTAGGTGGTGCTGTAGAACTTGTTTCTGAAAGCAGTTCTTCGATAATAGTCAGTCCGATGAAATGTGTGTGTGTGTGCGTGCGTGCGTGCGTGCGTGCGTGCATGTGTTTTTGTAGGTGTGTGTGTGTGTGTGTGTTTGTTTGTGCGTGCGCGTGTACGTGCGTGCAACACGCGAATACTACTGCTGCAGTGTCGTGTAAACCTGTTTAATATTGACATTGCGGCCATGGCCGCAGATCGCTGAGTCTCTTTCTCTCTCTCGGGGGATTACCCTGCGGGGAAATAAATTAGTCGTTGCGCATCGTTTGGGTTTGAAATTTGCGTTTTTATCGGATGAAATGTCTGATGTGGTATCGCGATTACCAGCCAGTATTTACTGTTGTTCAAGGGCGTGCCACAGTGTGCGGGCGTGCGTGCGTGCGTGCGTGCGTGTAGAACGTGGGAGTGTTATCGTTATATTCGTTAGTTCACAGTATCGCAGATTCCTTAGTTCGTTATCGGAATGATGGATGGGCATGTAGCTCAGCAGTGTGGTTTTGCGTGCGTGGGTGAGGAGGTGTGGGGGACTGCCGAGTACACACGTGCAGCGTACAGGGGTTTTCGCTTGTGTTTGCGCACGGTGCTAGGCTGTACGCATGACCACGAGTTCCCGCGCGTCCCCACGCCAGCCGAACACTCGTAGTAGAATGGAGGCCACTCCTACAGGCCATGTGTGCAATCCACGTGTCATTATCTCAAGCTAAGCCTGCGGGCATCATCAGCAGCAGCAGTAGTAGTAGCAGCAACAGAAGAAATAGTAGTAGTAGCAGCAACAGCAGCAGCAGAGGAAATGGCAGTAGTAGCGGCATCAGCATCATCAGAAGAAATTGTAGTAGTAGCAGAAACATCAGCAACAGAGGCAATAGAAGTGACATCAGTAGTAGTAAACTATCAGCGAAAGCAGCAGCAGTAGTTGTAGCTAGCGAGGTGCAGTTATGAGTATCCTATATAATACACATGTACATAGATGCACCATAGATATATACAACACATATATCTACATATGAACACATGTGTTGTATATATCTATAGATGCACCTATGGTTGCAGCAGCAGAGCTTGGATGAACAGCCGGCACGCACGCACCGCAGTCGCCCGTGGCGCTGCGAGCGCTGGAGCGTAAAAACCGACGCCGTACACTGCATATGTAATCGTGGGCCAATCGGGTTGTTATCTGGTGTGTGAGCGCCGACAGGGGCAAGCACGCACGCACGCTCACAACTCTACCGGCTGCTCAACGCGCGTGTAAACCACGTGTAGCAGCAGTAGTAATAGACCGGCAGCAGCCTACTGTGTACGCGTGGTAGTACTATGGCTCATATGGTCTATGTTCCCCAGGGTACTGCCGGAACGTACCCTGGGGGACATAGACCCTCTCAGCAGTACTATGTACCCTAGACTCATTCACAAGCAGCTCTACCTGTGTAGTCCTCAGCAAGGAGCTACATATAACAGCTGTTATATGTAGCTCCTTGGTCCTCAGCTTCGCAACAAGAACCTGTTGTGGAGCGGCGAGGGGTTACACAGAGCTAATCTGCTAGCAAGCTATGTTGGCTTGTACAATATGTATATGACCTGCGCACGATAGCACATTGCTTCGGTCGCCGTTTCCATTTCGCGAATCGGATGACTGGGGCACTCTCTCGTTGACAGCATTGGTAAAGTTGTGTCTTGTCACAGAAGACCCTTCGGTGTTGCTATGGCGTGGTAGTAAAAAATACATGTGTGTTAGATCAGCGAGGTGTCATGGAATAATGAATCCCTGCTGTGGTTTCCTGTTAAGTAATTATTACGTTAAATCCTACCTTGCTTTGGACTTTGGTCGCATGTCCGTTGGTTTTTTGTCAATCCAACCCTAACTCATGCTAAATGCATTTTGGCCCAACTCTTTCCCCAACAAGATTTTACCCATTAATTTAATGCACACGACTACTACATGGCAGTCGCTGTCTTTCCCCTTTATAACGAAACTAGATGACATCGATGTGTCATATCACATGATGTGTGAACATGTGTGTGCGCGCATGTACGTGCGCGTGTGCGTGTGTGTGCGTGCGTGCGTGCGTGCGTGCGTGCGTGCGTGTAAGCGTGTGTGTTGCAGCATTATTGCAGTGTGTCATCGGTGTTGTCATCATTGTGTTGCAGCGTTATTGCAGTGTGTCATCGGTGTTGTCATCATTGTGTTGCGGCATTATAGTGTGTGTCATCGGTGTTGTCATCATTGTGTTGCAGCATTATCGCAGTGTGTCATCGGTGTCGTCATCATTGTGTTGCAGCGTTATCGCAGTGTGTCATCGGTGTTGTCATCATTGTGTTGCAGCGTTATCGCAGTGTGTCATCGGTGTTGTCATCATTGTGTT